ACAGAGCGCCCCAGTCAAGGACCATCCGGTGGCTGGTTCCCTCCCAGGTTTCCCTGGGGATTGCTGGTGCTCAGAGTCTCGCAGGCCCACCTGGGTAAAGCCAATGACTAGGGGTCTTGGGGCCCAGACCATCTTGACCCATGTATGCCAGCTGGCTGATGTGGACTGACAGCCCACCCAAGCAGAACTGGCGCTGAGAGTTGAACCCAACGCCAGGTGCAAGATCCCAAGCCCCCGCCTCCTCTTCCTCCTCCCCCTCCTCCTCCAAGGTGACACACTTGACCTCCACTCACCAGAGGCAAAGTCCAACAGTACAACTGGTCCCCCTGCTGCAACTCTAAAAAGGGCCTTTGTTTGGGCGCCCCACCACCGCCTATGTCTGGGCTGGACATATGAAGCTCCACACTTTCCTCCCTGTCCTTGGAGGCCGGCTTGTGTGCGAGTTAGTTAGTGATCGGCCCTTCCCCCCCACCCTCTGTGACTCTTGAAGTCTTTGAAAAGATCTGTTGAATCTGGACTGGATGTTTAGGCAAAGACAATTTTCTGACATCTTGCAGTTTTTGGATCATGCATTCATCAACAGTTGATAAGGTTGCTTCTAAAATGGCAATCGTTGTTTAAAAAGATTGGGCTAATTTGAAATCATGGTGTTGTCACGTTGTCTCTTTTGAGGGTACCAATAGGAAGTGTGGATGTAGCCTGAAATCTCCATATGTACCCTGGAATGTGGTGCAAGTGTGTTACAATGACAGAAAAAGAAATCCTTTGGAATTTGATGAGCTGTTGGAGAAAGCTTTTTTCAGTTTGTCTTTACCTATCGTTGTGGGGACGTGTTTCCTTTAAAAATAAACAATTACAGATATTGTGGCATCGAAGGGGTGCTCATGAAACCACAACTGGTTGTGCTAACTATGCCATTAAAAAATGGAGCTCATCCTACTGGTGCTTTGTGCTCGCTTCGGCAGCACATATACTAAAATTGGAACGATACAGAGAAGATTATCATGGCCCCTGCACAAGGATGACACGCATACTGGTGAAGCATTCCATATTGTTGTTCCTGGTTACCTTATGCAGTAACTATCACAAACAACGGGTCATTTTAAGTGTAACCCTTTTAATACGTGATAGTGGGGTTTTCTCACTCTTAAGCAAGAGCAGGAGCTCAGGTGTTGTTTGTCTGTGCATTGCGCTCAGAGAGCAGCATCTTGGCAAATTTTCATGTCTTTGGGACTTGTATATGATGCAGCTGGAACCACAGGCTAAACAATTGGTGAATTGTAACACTTTTCACGCATGATGGTTGGATTTTCCTTCTCACAGAGCAACATCTTGACTCATTTTTGTGTCTTTAGGACTTACATATGATGCACATGCAATCATAGGCCAAGCAATATGGGTCATTTTCAATGTAACCCAAGTTACACACAATCGTGGGATGTTCTCACTTGTCAGCAAGAGCAGGATCTCAAATCTTGTTTCTCTATCCATTGCACTCAGAGTGCAACATCTGGTCTAATTTTCATGTGTCAGTGATTTACATATAATACAACCCTAGCCATCAGCCAAACAGTAGGAGTCATTGGAAGAACACACTTTCTCATACATGAAAGTTGCAACAGCAGTAGCTCAGGCGTTGCTTTCCCATGCATTGCACTCAGAGAGAAATATCCTGGCTAGAAGAGCAAAGGTCCCACCGAGATTTCAACTGGATTCAGAAAACATGCTAACCGTTACACAATGGAACCAATGGCTTCATGGCCAGATGGGTGTGCCAATTCCAAAAAATCCTCCCCTATCTTGTCTGCTTCTCAGAAGGTCATGCAGCGATCCAAGGGACAGAGGAGAAAGCCGGGTAGGTAACAGGGAGTTAACTCAAATGGTAGTGCGCTCTCTTAGCATGCGAGAGTAGTAGCAGGAGCAACGCCCAACTTCTCTTGTAGGTTTCCCTCCTCAAGGTCAGTCTTTTCCCAAACTCCACCAACAGGGAGGCCCACCTGACCCCCTCATCATGGCACCGGAGAGGGGGCCAAAAACCTGCATGGGGTTCCTTCCGCACTTCACCCCTGGTGTGGCTGTGCAACCCCACATGACAGTTGTAAGAGCAGCAACTCAAGTGTTTCTTTCTTATCCATTGCAATCAGTGAGCAGCATCCTGGCTGATTTACATGTGTGTGTGACTTGATAAAATCCCAGCCATAGACAACAGGGGTAATTTTACGTGTGACCCTAGTCATATGCACCTGTTTGATTTTCCTGCGCTATCTGATGTAGCATGACTCAGAAAAAGTAATGTTTAGTGGATAGAAATTCCTGTCAGTGATGTTTATCTAATGTAAAATGAATAAATGGGTGCTTCATTCAGATACCTCTCCTCTGCTGTAAATATACCGTGTTTTGAATTCATTGAAAATGTCCCTTTGTAAAGTTTCGATCACCAATGCAACCAGGAACAACAATATGGAACGCTTCACCAATATGCGAGTCATCTTTGCGCAGGGGCCATGCTAATCTTCTCTGTATGGTTCCAATTTTAGGATATGTGCTGCCGAATGAAGCAGAATGTAGCGGTAGGACTTGTTCCTATTTCAATTGCATAGTTAAAGCAGTTAAAGGTAACAAGTCTTCACAACTCGACGCAATGAGTGGCCATTGTAATGGTAATCATCATGTTCTTTAATTGTATGTAAGCAAACCGAGTGTATATCAGCTGTATGCAGTCCTGGGAGGTTTAGGAGGTGCGTTGTGAGTAGTGAGGACTTGGGAGGCAAATTGTACACAACAGTGTCTTGCTATTTTTATACTTAATAACATTCTTCAGTACAACACAGGTTGTGTGTTTATTTGTCTAGTAAGGCTCGCAGTGACAATCAGTGTCATTAATATGCGGTTAGATGTGAAGTTGCTTGCCAGAACAAAATGGGAGTCATCCACTAACTTTACCGTCATTGACATGAATGGGATTTTTCTGTTTGCCGTACAGTCTCTTTTTTGAAGGACTTCCAGAGTCACAGAAGAATTGAAAGTACACAAGACAGTTCTCAGATGTTTGTAAGGTTCCAACGATTGTGTGTAACTGGGGTTACACTTAAAATGACCCCTATTGTTTGGCCTGTTGTTTCCCAAGAATGAAGGCCAGGTGGCACGTGGAGACATGGTGCCGAAAGGATCACTCCCAAAAACAAAAAGAATATTGTGTAGCCACGGTTCGTTTGATCGCTCCAACACTTGGTCATGCCTCATCTCCCCCCCTCATCCAAAAACAAATCCACTTTGGTGACTCAACAAACAAAATTACGTATTCTCAAAAAAAACAACCTGGGGTGGGGGTAGGGGCCAATAACTAACTAACTCGCACACAAGCCGGCCTCCAAGGACAGGGAGGAAAGTTTTGGGCTTCATATGTCCAGCCTAGACATAGGCGGTGGTGGGGCGCCTGCCCAAACAAAGGCCCTTTTCAGAGCGGTTGCAAGTTGGAGGAGGAGGGAGAGTAGGAGGAGGAGGAGGCAGTGGCTTTGGCTCTGGCACCTGCCGTTGGGCCCCGCTAGGCCTGGCTGGCAGACGGGTGGGCTGTCAGTCCACATCAGTCTGCTGGCGTAGACGGGTCAAGATGGTCTGGGCCCCAAGACCACTAGTCATTGGCTTTACCCAGGTGGGCCTGCGAGACTCTGAGCTCCAGCAATCCCCAGGGAAACCTTGGAGGGAACCAGCCACCAGATGGTCCTTGGCTGGGGCGCTCTGTCACCCTCCAGTGTACATGGAAAGTAAGCGTACCCATTGAGCTCCAGCAAAGGGCGGGCGGGCGGGTAAGCAGGCAGTGGCTGTCTGGAGGGACACATGCACGCACGCATGCATGCTTGCACGGAGGAGAACACGTGAAGCGGCGGGCGGACGGGCAGGCAGTCAGGTCAGTTGCTGGCCAGAGCCCAAGTGTGGAGGGGGACCAGTTGCCCGCTGGACTTTGGTTCTGGAGATGGGCCGGGCAAAGGGGGACCAGTTGCCCCCGTTGCCATTCAGGGGACCAGTAGCCCCCCTTTACCATTTTTTGGGGGACCAGTTGTCTGCCTCTGGATTCGGGTGACCAGTTGCCCAGGCCTGCGGGGATGCGGGGCTTTTTGGGCCTCATGACTGGAGGTGGGGGGGCTTAACTGTGGGCGGCGCGGGCAAAACGGAGGCCCAGGTTCGGAAGGTAGGAGGACGGAGGAAGGGGGGGTGGGTGCACTAGCAGACTCGGACCCCGGCTGAGTGGGAGGGTGGGTTGGGTGCGCAGGAGAAGACCGAGGTTACCTGGTTGATCCTGCCAGAAGCATATGCTTGTCTCAAATTTTAAACCATGCATTTCTAAGTACACATGGCCGGTACAGTGAAACTGCGAATGGCTCATAAAATCAGTTATGGTTCCTTTGTAGTTCCCAAGTGTAAAAAATAGCTTGAAACCGTCGTGTACAATTTGCCTCCCAGGCCGAGTCCTCACTACTCACAGCGCATCTCCTAAACCTCCCAGGACTGCATGCAGCTGACATACATTCGGTCTGCTTACATTCAATTAAAGAAAATGATGATTAAAATGACTATGGCCGCTGACTTGTGTTGAGTTGTGGGGACGTGTTGCCTTCACAAATAAACAATTCCAGATATTGCGCCAATTAAGGGGTGTTCATGATACCGTGACTGTGATGGTTGCTCAAACTACACCATTGAAATAGGAACTAGTCCTACCGCCACTTTCCGCTCGCTTCGGCAGCGCATACACTAAAATTGGAACGATACAGAGAAGATGAGCATGGTCCCTGCACAAGGATGACATGCATACTGGTGAAGCGTTCCATATTGTTGTTCCTGGTTACATGGTGATCCAAAACTTTACAAAGGGACATTTTCAACGAATTCAAAACAGGGTATATTTACAGCAGGGGAGAGATATCTGAATGAAGCATCCATTTATTCATTTTATTACATTTGTTACATTTTATCTTCAAAAGAAGAAGCCAGAGAAGGCTCTCTCTGTCGGGGAATTGAACCCGGTCTCCTGCATAACAGGCAGGGATACTCTCCACTATACTAACAAGGACAAGCACTTTGTTGGCGCTTGCTAGAGTGAGAATACTGCCCACACGAGTACGCTGTTCAATCACAGCCCAAACCCTGCTCTTTTCCAGCCCAAAAAAGAATTTAGTACTCCTCTCCCCCTCCACCACGTACTCCGCCTTACTCCTCATGGCCACCCCCTTGCATCTGTCCCCTTCCAGCCTTTCCAGCCAGGCCTGCAGCTGCAGAACCACATCCAGGTTCTCCCCAGCCCCCACCCTCCCACACTCCCTATCCAACTGGGCCCTCACCCTCTGCTCCTCCCAGTCCAACCATCTCCTCCTCTCAACCCCATATTCAATAGAAAAAACTTTAGTATAATACGTGGTGGGTGATTATCCCACCACACCCGTTTATCAGTCCAAAATAGCGGGCAGGCCAGCTGCTCCCGGAGAAGCGCCCCCTAATTCCCACAGTAAGCTTCTCACACAAAAACTGTGAATTCTAGGCACCACACCCTGGTCCCCTCCGCACCTCCTCCAACCGCACCCGGAAGGGAGAACAGTGCATGATCACTTACCGCAGTGAGCACATATTTGGCACCCACCACGCAGCTCAGCAGCTCCCCGCTACAAAACCCATAGTCAATCCGGCTTTGTTTGAGCTGCCCCAACACCACCTGCTGCCGCGAAAAAGCCCTACCCCACACATTCCCACACCTCCAGAACTCAAAAAACCCCCCGCCCCCATGACATCCAGTAAAACCTTCCGAGTGCCCCCCAAGCTAAACCCCATACCCAGACCCACATCAGCCCTCGACAAGGCATTATTGAAGTCCCCCACCACCAAGCCCCCTGACCCAGGAAGAATCCCCTGAGCCCTGAAAAAACCCGCCTATCCCAATCCTCATTAGGGCGCATAAACATTCAAGACCTCCACCTCTTAGTCCCCACACCAACTGACACCCCGACCACCCTCCCCTCCCCATCCCTATATGTTCATTCAGTACATTCCCCTCTGTACCAGCGTTGGCACCCCACATCTAATCCCACCCACTGCGTTGCTTGCAAAAACCTCCCTGTCCCACCACCTACCCACCCGTTCCACAATGTCCGCATCCCAATAAGTCTCCTGAAGGCATATGACGTCTACCCCCTTCGCCAGCGTCAAAACATGCCTCACCTTCCCCATGTCCCTCAAACACCTAGCATTCAGGGACAGGACAGAAAGCATATAAAACCCAAAAGAAAAAAACCAGTACACCCACACAGATAATCCTCATCATGTCCCATCCAAACAAGCGCCCGGATCCTTAACATCCACCGCCAAAACTCACCCCCCCCCACCACCACCACCACCCTCAATGCTATCGATGATACATTGGGCTGCACCACCCTCTTCCTCCGCCAGGGGAAGCACGGCCTCGAGGCATCCACTACCCACCCCACACTCAACATCCCCCACCACCAGACTTCCCTCCACCACATCAGTACCAGCCCCAAAGACAAGGTCAGACGGCCCCTCCTCACACGGCCCTTCATCAGCCCCCCCCCCAACCTCCCCCACAAACCCATCCCCAGAACCCAGAAGCCCCACCAGAGCTGGTGGCTCCCGACACCTCCTCCAAATCCACTTCCAGGCCATCAGTCTGTAATCCAGTGATCATGTGTGGCCGTAAGCGAAAGCCTCCAGGCATTTAACCTCCAGGCAATGATTATAATTAAAATTGCTACCCATTTTTATGTGTCAGGCACTTTACTTTTCTTAGTTTACCAGCTAAATAGCCCTTTAAATTAAATATTACCACCACCACACCCCAACCCCGGCAAACACCCAAAATACCTACTGTTGGGAAAATGTGCAAATCACCATAAAATCTCTCAGTTG